CTCCTTGGCGGGGAAATGGAGCTTCTCTTGCCGGCTACCTTCTCTGGCCAATTAATACCCTTTTTAGGCCGATTTCTACCGTTTATTCACCCCGCAAGAGAAGTCTGGTGGAGACTAACTTAGTAGCAGGGTTGCCACAGCTGGCCTAGAATCTTCGTTTTTTTTTACCTTGCTCATACCTTGCTTCCTTTTGTGGCAAAAATTACCTAATTAGAGTAAATTCACTTACTAGTAATTTAATCATTCACAGCATAGTGCAAAACAGAAATTCTGTATCTTTCTTTAGTTCACCAAAAAAAGCCTGAACTCCAGCCTTGTTAGCTATATGTATAAATTACTATAATGACTAAAAATTGGCTACCTGTTCACTAATGTGACAAAGAAAAAGACAAAACAAATGCACAAACATGATTTGAAGATTTACACAATTACACAATTATAATTGTATTCAGATTATAAAATCATTGGGCACACTGGCACAGCCTTTTGTTGACCTATACAATTTATGAGTAATATGACCGCACTAATATTGTTGCCTTTTAATTTTTAAAAGGGGAATTCCCATTAGATTAATCACAATTTTTCTTAACCATTAGTTGGCACATGGTTGACAGGGCTCAAAATTCATTTTTGGGACTAGGTGCACTGGTGCACCCAACCTAAAAAATTAGGTGCACAAAAATTTTTTTGGGTGCACCATATGAAACAAAACCTAATTTTAGGTCCTAAGTTGCTCCTCTTCTGAGCTTGAATTTAAAATGAGAGCTAACTTCAACATCTTAAACAAGTAATACAACAAAAATTTTATTGTTTTTCTGATACTTAGAGACCAAGAATATCCAGAATACTATTATACATTTCTAATGTTAAAAGTTCCTACAAAAATATTTGGGTGCACCAGTGCACCCACAGAAAAACATTAAGTGCACAACTCCAATTTTGGGTGCACTAAGGTACACGTCATAATGTAATTTACCAACTCAGATGAACTTTCATGCTGAAGGTACACGTGCACCTAGTATTTCGAGCCCTGGTTGACCTCATACATGTATATGATAGGTGTGATATTTTGAGGCAATAATGTTTAATTGATGAGGAACAGGTTAGATATTCAATCCATTAGTGCTCAGAGACACGTGGGACCCACAATATGTTTGTAAATATTGTGTATTCCTGACCTGATGTATAATATTACAAATTGCATTATATAATTCATATAATGATTTATGATAATTTGGAACTACATGCACATGTAGTGACTAACATTGAGGATCATATAACAACATCATATAACATCTGTGTCCACAATGTCATCAGGGTCCATAATATCACCACCTTGAGAAACAGTGTGCTTTTTAAATGTCTTAAAAGATATTTTTACTGTGCACAACATACTTTTGGCATATGCACTCCTTCACACCTCAAATGTACATACCTAGGGTATGTTGCAGTAAAAATATCTTTAAGCACACTGTTTCTCAAGGTGGCGATATTATGGACCCTGGTGATATTATGGACACGGATGTTAAATCCAGATATGTAAACAGGTGTCTATGAATAATATAATAATAAAAGACACCCATTTTATGATGTAAACATATATTTATGATGGTGTTATTTGAGGGCAAACACACACACACACATGAACACACACAAAACAAGGACAACAGGGACGGCATACTTCACCCCCTCAAGCCCTCTGCCAGAACATACAGAAACTGCACTGCAGAAACACAAACATACACACATACAAAATCGCACAAAGGCAGACATGCAAAAAAAAAAAAAACAATATCATATTTCATTCCCTTGGGATGAAGTTAAAACGATAGAAATGCGATTTGCATTATAATATTTTGAGCCGATCACATTCTAACGGTCCTCATTAAATCTGATCATATGAGCTGAGAGCCAGTATCATCATAACAGATGTCTTCTGATTATAATATACGCTTCAAAAACATCGGTTTAAACCTCAAAATAACATCAATATTCACGTCCACACACACAAGAAAAATTTAGAGCGGGAAGAAAACGGTTTCTATGGGCAAATAAATCCAAATCTCCGTCTACCATAAGGTAGGCAAAACATGATGGACCCCAGAGCTGATCCAAAAACAACGCCTTTCTCTTCACCTAAAACACCGACCAACCTTTTGGGGATATCGAAGACTCGAAGCCAGCTGCGGTCGTCTCTGACCACCTTACACTTGCCGTAGTGCAGCAGGTCCTGGATAAAGTCTGGAGCGCTGGGAAACAAGGAGTAGACGGTCCAGCCGAGCAAAAATGCCGAAATCAAAGAAAACCAAAAGACTTCCAACAAACATGAATCCATCTTGGAATATACTATTAGCCCCCAGAATCGCGGGGGACGCAACCTACTGAGATCATATTGCAATACCAATATTGGGATATAAAGTCAACAAATTTGGCACAAATATTACTGAAATCTGTTTTTAATATATTGAAATAATGATGTACAATATGTTGTATCATTTATCTTATTCATAAAGAGAGCAATAAAAATGGTGAATGTCTTTTGCAGTGGACAACTTTGGACTAACCCAATATTTCCCCCCATGAGGCAGTGCGGTTGTTGGCGCTTGGAAGAGTGGTGAGTGTTTTTTACTGATTTTGGAAGATTTTAACCCAAATTTTATGCCTTCTGTGGACTTAATAAGTACAGTTTTCGCTTTCACATATATTTTCAATGTGATAAGAACGTACCAGCAATTGGAGAGTGTCTTAGATTTTGTAGAAAGTTCTTGAAAGTCGAGGTTACTCGAAAGTGGCGTGTGTGAAGGTGGGAGGGGGGCATCTGGGAAACGAAAATCACACGTCTTTTCTTTCCTTTTTGATTTGAATGTCACGGCCTGCGTATGTGATATTAGCGTGTGGTTGTATGACATTTCGAGTATTAACCTTCTGCTGTATATCTCTGTCATTGGACACCTGTGAAGATTGTGAGCCAGAGAGTAAAATGACAAAACAATACAAGAAGTAATCAAATCACATAATACAATTTGAGAAACAAATGAATAAACTTAGAACTACAAGGCAAGTCAACTTATTAACATTGTGAGAGTTATTGATTCGAGACAACAAATAACGACAGTTATATAGCCACCAGGCTCTCACTAGGCTGTTAGAGTGTAGGGGCCCCTATGCTGTGATTTTGACCTCGAGTCCTAACGCTGTGATTTAGCCCCCTACCACGCTCCTCCGCAGCGTCCGCTAGCGCGCTATAATTAAATCCACATCTGGGCGCGCGGCGGGGTCCCCAGAGCAACACAGTGCGGAAGCATTAGCGTGTATTTGTGTCCTGGGGCTGAGAACGCATTTTGCGCAAAGCATGCTGGGTAGCAGAGTGAACTGTCCTGGGGACGAGAGTTTGTGGAGAATGCCAAAACTCCCTCCGTGGCTAAGTTCCTTCTGGGCAAATGTAGAGGGATAACGGTACACCCTCATAGCGTCACCAAATGAGGTACTTTGTAAAGGTCCGTTTCATTTGGTATATATTACCATTGTGACAGCATTTTATACCCCAAAATAGGAATCTTGCGTCTTGTTTTAGGTCCCGATAGTAGAAAGAATGCAGTGTACATGTATTCAGATGGCCGCCGTGTAACGTTACGTACTAACGAGCGCGCACGACAATACCGCCAGAGTAGAGTAGGTTATCATAACCCTTTAGAAAGCGCAAAGAAAACAAAAACGACAGATTTGCATTAAAGAAAGTTTATTTTCCATAGCCTGGGCTAAGCCACGATCTATAACCTATGGCTTCTCCACGGGCGCTGGGGACGAGCGTGGCCCCCTACACTGTCTTTTAACTAGCATAGGGTTGTGCCACAGAAAGTTGTCCCTCTGTACCTGACCCATATGCTGTGAAAAAATTCTGGTGAGAACCCTGTGACTGACATTGGTTGTTCTCAGGGCCTCAGCATAGCAGCACTTGAAGGTTGATGGAATGTCCAACTCCGACAAGCAACAGCAGCAAAACACCTCAGCAGGCGAGAAGTGGAGAGTCAAGACCCTGGACGAAATCTTAGAGGAGAAGCGCAGACGGAAGGAACGGCAGACCATGGAGCAGGGGAGCAAGGGAGACCACTCGGGACATCTTGAAGAAGGTAAAGCTGTAAACAAGTAAAATCTGAGATTTTATACCTCCGGGCTTTTTATTGTATATTCTTAATGTTGTTTGTTATGAATAGTTGATGGTGTTTTTGTGTTAGATTTAGTGTTCCAAACAAAGAATGTATCGATACCGGACACCCTTCTGTGTGAAAGGTCATGCAAGTGGACGAGACTTGTAATACTTAAAATACACCAAAAACCAAATGTTGAAACCATTTTCACGCTCAAAGGGGTGTTTGGCCAACAAAAGGCACTATTTTCCCGCCCGAAAACACATATACAATAAAAACAAAAAAAGTGCATCATCTACAGCCCAATAGCAAAACATATACCAAGTCCTAAAAGAATCCGTCCACCCAAACGCGAGAAACAGCTGCGAACGTGAAAATCTACATCTCCCACAAAACCTTCCGCGGAAGGATTATCCTCCCCCGGAGGTAACAATAACCTCAGATACTCAGTACTGTAGCCTGTGACAGTGTTATAACCAGCCTGAAACGTTTGTCATCTCTATTTTGTTTGACATAACATCATGTCTGTGCAACAATCTTAGGGGGGTCCGGGAGCATGCTCCCCCGGGAAAATGTTGAAACAGTATTTGACACATTGGGCAAAAAGTTGTGTTTGTCATGATGAGGGGAACAATATGTCAAATGACAGCAAAACAGACACTACCTAGAGGGATGATTCAAGGGAGTTAAGTTGTTTTTTTACATTATGCATGAGTGTGGCCATACAGTATATTGCACTGTATTGTTCTGCACAAATTATATTATAATTTATAATATTGTTCCTTACTTTGACACTTTCTTGCAGACACTTTACCAGTGCTTTTGTGTCATCATTTACAGCTCAAAGAGGGGGTCAACAGCTGAACGTCTGCAAATAATGACTGAATGTTTGACAAAAGATGGTCATGTTACACATTTTTTAAATATATGATAGTATTGTGGTATTGCAGGAAGTTGGCAGAGTTAATAAAATTCTTCCCCCCATTCACTAGGCAATCGGCTAGTATGTATGCACTAAGTTGACTAACACATTAACTTAGCATTCTAACCCTCACTTAGTCCTTTGTATTGTTTCAGGCATTTCTTCCCTTTTCTCCTGATTTTTAAGAATCAAAAGAGCATTTCTTTTCCTTTGTCCCACATTGTAGGGGAGCTGGAAGATGAGTGGGCCCCCCACAGAGCACGAGAGACTGGTACAGATCCCTACAGGCACATAGAAAATGGTGGGTTAGACAGCTATTGACGCTAGTAAGGCCCCTTGGATGACTGCCATGTAGTAGGCACAATGGCTCTGGTGGGCTGGACAAAAAATATCTGGAGTTTTACGGTCAGAATGCATGCAATTTAACGATTATTTGCTTAAGGACATATACTTCATTTACACTAACTTCACAGGATTGGGCAAAAGGTTTTTCGTCCCCAATTGAGAAGTAAAATTAGTGAGGCAACTTACAGGAATGCACAAAAAAGTCAAGTCTGTGATTATGTATTTGTATAGCCTACATCTTGACAGTTATGACTTTCCTTCGATGTAAAAAAATGTCATGTTGGCAACCATCAAACTAGTAGTAAAAGATCCCTACCCTGTAAAGTGTTAAAACAATGCATGCTGTCTGAGCCATTCTACCAGATACCTGCGCCATTGTGCCTACCTGGCAGTACCACCTGATACACCTGGTGCACACCTGGAGCTTTGCAGGTGTGTCAGCTGGAGTCCAGGTGAGCTAACAGGTGTGTGGTGTTTCCTCCAGGTGAACTTCAGGAGAAGAAAGGAAAGGAAGGGGTGACGGAGGGAGGTGGCAGTGATGATGAAAGGATGGAGGAAGGACTGGATATCAAACCTCCACAGCCCAAGAAAGACAGCAGGTATGCATGTGTGTAAGGTCAGGGGTTCAAATCCTAACAGTTGAAATTTAGAGCCCCTTTATTCATAATACTGGTCAGGCTTGTGGAAATGTTGCTAGCAACAGAATGATTTATGCCATCACAAAGACAGATTTTTAAAGGATAAGCGTGTTTGAGGCAGTCAGATTTGTTGCTCATGATCTTTTTTGTTCCAGGTCTTCCCACCATTCCCATAAGGACAGAAGGAAGGACAAACACCGGGACCGATCCCAGCGCCGGAAGAGGTCGCTGTCCAAGGAAGGCGCCGACTACGGTCCCGCCAGGCAGAAACGCCGCAGCAAGGAACCGGAGAGGGCGGACCACAAGGAGCGCAGACACGCCAGGCCGGCAGATTTTGCAGCAAGGGGTCGATCACAGAAGCAGCCTTACCGTGAACGCGAACGTCCGCGGGAAAGACCCGAAGCACCGAGGGAACCAGAACCATGGAGACGAGATCGAGTTGGGCCTCGTCCAGAAAGGGAACCACCACGGGGTGATAGGTTGGCTCCACGTGCCGACAGAGAGAGGGAACGGCCACGGTCGAAGGAGGACTTAAGGAGGAAGGAGCGACGGGATGTCGGTCCTCAACAGAGCAGCCGCAGCGGGCAGAGCAGGAAACGGGAGGGGGAACGAAGCCCAGTAAGACCACCACGTGATGAACAGAACTTACGGGCACAACCAAAGTACGAATCACCAAAGGTAAAAGAGCAAGATGAGCCACAGAGTGCAGATGAGAGGGTGCACACACCACCAAGGGAGGAGGAGGAACAGGAGATCGAGGTCGGAGGTATGGAAGTAGAGAGGGAGGAGGAGAGAAGTGAGAGTTCTGGGGAGGGGTCATCAGGGGAGGAGTCAGGGTCAGAGGGTGAGGGGTCAGAGGGCGAGGGGTCAGAGGAAGGGGAGGAGAGTGGGGATGAGTCAGGATCAAGCAGCTCCTCTTCTGAGGACGAAGATTCTGGGGAGGAATCTGGATCCGGGGATGATCAAGGCAGCGAGAGATCTGGCAGTGTGCGATCCACAAGTCCAGATCACGTTGAGAACAAAACACACCATGTCCACGTCAAGTCCAAGTTTGATGAAGAGTCAGGAGGGAGTGAGGAAGAAGATGACCAATCAGAGCCTCCCTCTGATAACGAGTATGTGGTGGCAGATTCGCCTCCTGAGTCGCCACCAGAGCTGAAACCAGAGATTCCTCCATACCTCCCTGCTGTCATGGGCTGCCGCAACGTGGAAGAATTCTCCTGCCTCAACAGAATAGAGGAAGGCACGTACGGCGTCGTGTACCGTGCAAAGGACAAGAAGACGGGAGAGATTGTGGCCCTAAAGCGGCTCAAGATGGAGAAGGAAAAGGAAGGGTTTCCCATCACCTCCCTTCGCGAGATCAACACCCTTCTGAAAGCTCAGCATCCGAACATTGTGACGGTGCGCGAGATCGTGGTCGGCAGCAACATGGATAAGATCTACATCGTGATGGATTACGTTGAGCACGACTTGAAGTCGCTAATGGAGACCATGAAGCAGCCGTTTCTGGTTGGGGAGACGAAGACTCTGCTGATCCAGTTGCTCCGGGCCGTACAGCACCTCCACGACAACTGGATCCTCCATCGGGACTTGAAGACGTCCAACCTCCTCCTCTCGCACAAGGGCATCCTCAAGGTCGGGGATTTTGGGCTGGCGCGTGAGTACGGTTCCCCGTTGAAACCGTACACACCAATCGTGGTAACCCTGTGGTACCGTGCCCCAGAACTCTTGCTAGGAGTGAAGGAATACTCCACCCACATCGACCTGTGGTCCGTCGGGTGCATCTTTGCTGAGTTTCTCACCATGAAACCCCTCTGGCAGGGCAAATCGGAGATCGACCAACTGAACAAGATCTTCAAAGACCTGGGCACCCCGAGTGAACGGATCTGGCCTGGCTATAATGAACTCCCTGCTGTAAAGAAGTGCACGTTCGCTGAGTATCCTTACAACAACCTTCGCAGTCGATTTGGAGCGTACCTGTCAGACCTAGGCTTCGAGCTCCTTAACAAATTTCTCACGTACTGTCCCTCGAAGAGGATCACCGCAGAAGACGCGCTGAAGCACGAGTTTTTCCGTGAGTCACCGCAGCCGGTGGACCCGAGCATGTTCCCAACATGGCCGGCAAAGAGCGAACAGACCACGACACGCGTGAAGAGGGGAAGTAGCCCGCGGCCACCAGAAGGAGGGTTGGGTTATGCCCAACAGTTGGCAGAAGATGGGGACATTGAACCTGGTCTGGGCTTTCACTTCAACACATCCCAGCAAGGGGTGTCAGCGAAGGGGGCAGGCTTCAATCTCAAGTTCTAGTTATTCCTAACTAGTCACTAAGATCTTACCTAATATCCATTCTAGTTTAGCTCATCACCTCTCTCCAGAATGGCCAGAGTCCCTAAAGTAATACCTGTTCAAATTCATGCATTTTATATTTCACTCTGTAAAAATATTTGTCACGTTGTATTTGTGTATTAGATTTCTATCATATGATCTAAAAATAAGAAAGTAAAATGCAAAAGGGTTTATAAAAAGGATGCCTTCCAAGAAAAAAAAGCCAAAATTTATGTGTTCAGACTCAGAGAATGAAAATTGTGTGGCCTTTGTATTTCGGACTGGGGGAGGTTCCTGGTTGATCTGGGTAAATGTTAAGAGACTAGCATTGAATGTATCTCCTTACACTTACAGCTCATACTAAGGTCTTTGTGATATAACACTAGCTTTGTGCAGGACCAGCAGATATGATAGAATATGACTAGCCTCAAAGAAGGGCAAATATATGTGTATCCAGATAGATTTGAAACTGTACATATCCACTTGTGGTTGCATATACATGTAGTGTGGAATTAAACTAAGTACATGCAGTCAATGTTGTTTCAGATCATATGATTTGTCTCTTCAGTGGTGTAGAGTTATCTTTTTATAAAAATTCATTACCGCCATGCCCATAAAATGTAGTTTTACAGGAAGTAATGTTTTGGTTTGTGTTTCGAGTTCCATAATTTTGGAGTCTGGGGAAAGAAACTGTTGCTGTAGCATACTGGAAACCTAGTGGCATGCTGAAAAGTTCTTAGTGGTGGGACAAGTAGTGATAGTTCTTCTCAGTGGTTGAAGTGCCCTGATGTATATGGCCTCTGAGAGGCATAAAAGAGGATAAAAGAGGCCATATACATCAGGGCACTTCAACCATCGCTCAACCGGGACGGGGGGCGATATCGACTTCAGACAACCTTTGACCCTTTGCTGACGTCTCACGTGGGAAAAATCACGTGTCCACAGCATTTGGGTCAGATAGCTGAGGAAGGCTGAGTGATTCAGTCGAAAATTTCTGGTGAGTCAAATTTTTAAGTTTTTCATAATGTATGTTTCTCTCTGTTTTATATATCAAACACCTCATCCACACCGCAAACACCACATAAGGTCTTCTCTGAGTATTGTGATCTACGCATACGGGCTGTTTAATACGTGTAGCGTCATTTTACAATACATTTTGGCATGTCGTAGCGCAATATATTTTTAGACCCCCATTAGAAGTATAAGTTGCAGCAGTACACATTAAAAGTATAAGTACACAGTAAATGGCACACATACAGTTGCAATACAGGACAATACAATAACCGGTAGAATATGTCCGTAATCGCAGTAAACTAACTTATCCTTACTAAGATTTTTTTGTGCGTAATGTTATGCGGCCTTATGCGCGTAATATTAATATACAACGCAATATACAACGATACATTGAACGACTAAACATAACAACCAATGGTACCGGTAGTTCTACGACTAAATAAAGGAGCAATTGTAGTACTAGTATGCCCACGGACGAAGTATGGCGCCCGAAGTGAATGTATATCGACGAAAAGACAGACCATAACAGGGACCAATTACCATCGCAATATATAACGATACATTGAACAACTAAGCATAGAAACAATGATGGTAGTACTACGACTAAATATAGAAGCAATTGAAGTACTAGTATGCCCATTAAGTGCATGTATCTCGACGAAAAGACAGACCATAACAGAGACGAACTATGTATAATTTTCACAGATATAGAAATTGCTAAGCCACCAGCCCAAGGATACTTAGGTCGACAAGTACTTCAGTTAGAATTACATGTATATATATTTTGTCCGGGCAATTGATTTTTTTGTCAACTGTGCAAAACTTCTCGTGCAGTCCTTCCTTTTTGCCCCATAAGGCCACACCGTCTTAATTTTATGGATGACATCCGTGCGCGCATTGATTTTCGTCTGTTCACAAAAAAAAAAAAAAGATCACGTCATCCGAGGCTCTGGCCTGGATAGTCCATGGTAGCTTGCTATATAGCGACAGTACGGAGCCGGAGGTGACACTGGAGGATGGCACCCAGGCTACGAGTACCAAAGCTCCACGACTCAAGACCTCAGTACATACGTACAGTGATGACGTCAGTAGACGGTTTGACTTGTTTGTTCGGAAGGCGATTTCATTTTTAGGCCCACTTTAGACACAGATTTTCCCGACAGCGTAGTCTCGCTTGCTATATAGCTAGTCCTCAAAATTCACAGCGGGGCTACGCTGTCGGAAATTCGCTTTACATGGCGTCCCCACTAATTTCCCTCTGTCGCGAAAATCTGTGTCTAAAGTGGGCCTAAATCACGTCATGTGAACAGGAATCCATACAGGCATGATTCTGCTCAAATCAATATGTTTCGCTATGTACTGAAATTCCAATGTGCGTTCCTATCTGTCTACAAATGTCGCAATTTCCGTTCCGTTTTGTCTGGGTATTCAGCAGTTAATAATTCATAGGGGTCGGCAACCTTCTCCTTGTATAGGACTAGAAGTAATATCAGAGAGAGAGACTTAGAATAGCAGAAAAGGCCGTGAAAAGAGCTGGTAAAAACCAAGAAAGGAACCCCGACCAATCCATTGTGAAAAAGTCCTAATTTCAGTCCATACTCTGTAGCGTTGTCTTGTGCAACATATACGTAACCGCCCCGTACAAACCCCGAATTTGCTTCCGAACATTTTGGAAATGTATTTGTTTACTGTTAAGCTTGGCTTTTCCTTCCATATGTTTGGACCTGTTTGTGTTTAGGTTGTTTTCTCATTGTTAGTGTACTGATGTCTTACGGGACGGCTTCGGAGCGTTTCGGCGCCAGTTTGCTGGCACAGGCCGGCTTTCCTCTGCCTGTCGATTTTTCCAACTAATTTCTAGCTCATTATATACTTAGCGCCTTTCTAGCTTATCACTGCCGTCCCGTAAGCGAACTATTTAGAACCGATCAATAGAAAAAAACGGCGTGCGCTAATGAACCTAGGCGGGCGGGCAGTACTATTAGCACCGTAGAGAGCCGGCGAGCCTATGATGGTCTTCTAGGCTAGTAAAATCCGACCTCTCCAGCTCCGTACAGGTCGTCGGCACTGCCGACCCTGGTGGAGCTCGGGGGTTGGAGTGGCGTGCCATGGGATGACTGGGCTGCCTCCGTACCGTACATGTCACCCGGCTCCTCACGGCTGTTGTCGGTGCCTGCAGCTTCGTACAGGTCGTTCCCCCTCATGTCCATGTAAGTGCAGACGTTTTCGTCACCGAATCCGTTGGAGATACCTTCGTGTCCGGTCGTCGCGGCCATCCTGGGAGGAATCGGAGGTGGGTTTTCCTCCTCCCGTTGGTTGCTCCTGCCATCCGTACACTCTTCACTCGGGTGGGCAAACTCTTTGGCTTTCTGCACGGTAGGATTGTGGTCATGGCCAGCCGACTCTTCTTCAAGACTGTCGTCTCGAATGCCTCCGGGATAGGCGGGGTTGTGATCTTGCACCTCGCTGTCCTGGTCGTCGGTAGTTTTCCAACTGATGAGGCGGCGAGTCGGGGAAGTTGCTTCGTCGTTGGTGCAGTAGTCGTACTCATGGTTCTGGTCGTTCGGTTCCTCTTGGTGCGCGACGAGGCCGTCTTGCAAGTCCACGTCGTTGTCGTAGATGTGGAACTCGCGGTCAGGACTTGCCGTGCCATCTTCTGCCGGCTGATGGCCACTGTTGTCTGTGTTCGGCACATCATGGACAATGGCACAGGCTGTGGCACTGGGTGGTTGGTCGCTGTCGTCAACGCTGCGGCGGTTGTCTGTGGCGGGCGTTACCTGGGCCAGTACGGGCGCGGTGCGCTGCGTTCGGCGCACGTGGTGGCTGCTGTCGTACGAACAGTCCTCGTAGCGCCGACCCCGCATCTCTTTCAACTCAACAGGGCTGTCGCGCGAGCCATCCTCGTAGTCATTTTCGGAGTGACCGCTTTCAGGTGCAGGGCGGGCCACAGGGTCCATAGCAGCCTGTTTACTCAGACAGATTTTGATGACAGCACAGCAAAAGGCGACCAGTAGAGCGGCAAAGGGTATGGTAACTTCTAGTAAGACAGCTTGGCTCACCTTGGTATCACCAGGGACATCGAGAATCTTAACCCGCTAAAAGAAAGAGCACAAACATCCCAAACTTTCAAAAGTCAAATCTACCATAAAAATGAATCAGGAATTACATGTATACAGTGTCTCTTAGAGCTATAGAGAATAAAAAAATTACAGTAAACGGTATAATTAGAAAATACACGAAAGGATACAGCAGCAGGTCTGTTCATAAGTGTGGTACTTAAGAACACATCTAGATAACGTCAGTTCACCACAGTCGTTTCTCTACGTGGCAGACGCAGTTTGTCTACATGTATTTGAATGTTAGTGCTCTGAATAGACCACCGGCCTTAGAAACATTGCTTTCATATAGTCATGTATTTACATAAGTCAATGAATGAAATTATCACATCTGTCTTAGCTGTTTGTCACTGCGTACACAAAGCAAATATAAATGCAGAACAAGCTGAGCGATTTAAAATGCCATTTGATACTATAGTCTGTAGATATACACAGTACAGTCATGTAACACTCAAATGTTGCGAAACGACGCTGTCATTTAGCGACATAAATTGTCATGTAAGAAGATAAATAAAGTGGACTAAAAATTGTACCGAAAAGACGGTTATTCGAGAGACAAAAAGTCATACCTTATCTGTATGACCCGGCGTAGTCATCCGTACATCAGCCGCAGTGGTCGTTACCTCAGTTGTAGACTGGTCCACGTTACCGGACGTTGAAGTGGGAGGAAGGGTTGTTTCAGGACTTTCCTTCTCTGGTGTGGAAGGAACCAAGCTCGTCGTTGATACGTGTGGGTCCGGGGGCGGTCCGCAAGTCACCGACTTGAAACACAAGATTCGTGAGGAGTTGGCCATGTGGCGAGTGAACCAGTCCCAGCCTTCGTCACATCGGAAAGGGTTTTGGTCCAACTGGAGGTAGGCCCCGCTCACCCGATCCAGCTCACGGCTTGACATGAATGCCAGGTGATTGTGACTCAAGTCGACGAACATAGCCTCTCCTAAAGCTAGCTGACTTCCCCTGGTTATCATCGGCATGACTTTCAATTCGTTGTGAGAGAGGTACAGCTGCGTTAGACTTTCCAGATCCGCAAAAGCGCTAGGAATGAGGAAGGTCAAGTAATTTCTTCTCAGATCCAGTACTGTAAGGTGGCTCAACCCTTCGAAACTGCGCCGGGCGATGTAGTTCAGAGAATTGCACGTTAAGCTTAGGAAGCGAAGATGTGGCAATCCAGTGAAAGCTCCTGTTTCTATGCGCTCGATCGCACTTTTCCTGATGAAGAATCGGGCCCCTGGCTGAGAACTACCACGTCTGGCTTGTCTGAGGGAACTCGCCGTTAGGGTCTTGAAGGACAAACCGTGGGAAAGGGTGAAGCTTTGCCCGGACGGACTTTTTATGTTGCAGAGATGCTCGAAGCGTCCACGGCGAGTGCAACACAGGAACGGAGTCTCAGGTTCAGGTAAAACCGAGGAGGTGCACAATTCTGCACACGGGTGTGAAGCCACGCCGAATTCGACAGCAAGCCAGAGAAGGAACGTTTTCACAAAGACGCCACTAGCAGGCGCCATGTGCATCTTTCAGGTCGGCCGGTTGGCGGTATAAGTCATAGTTATAAGGATAAATCTCAAACTTGTAGGGCCAACATCACGAGGCAACTAGTCGCAGTACCATAAAAAAAGCTTACGTGCCAAAATGTCTAACCAACTTGGCAATCATGCTTCCGTAGCGCACAGTTAGTTCGAATCCCGTCTGATGTCTCGTCATACCTTGAGTAGACCAAGAGGGTGCAGCGCATTTGTCGCTGTAGCGCTCCAATGCTTTCAGATAATCTAACACAAAATTATGACAGAAAATGACACCAAGGGAGACAAAGCATTAAACAAAGTTTGAAGCTACTTGAAATTGATACAGAGTACTGGAAGGACCTTGTAGATGGCTGCAACAGAGGAGCAATACACTCTGACCAAGCGACTGTAGTCAGGAGCTGAGCTAAAAGCAACTAATGCCTACACAGAAGTCAATCAATAGAAAAGAACAACGTAGCTTATACAGAGCTGAGCAGGCCCACGTCGCATCCGTGACAGATACTATCATATCACACAATAGGACTGCCAAGCTAATTTCATATCGGATTTAACAGTTGTCAGTAAAGGCCGATAGAGGCTGACATGATATGACAAACAGCCAACCAAACTAGACAGCAGCGGAACCGATAAACAACAAACAGCGCTGTCAGCACACCCAAAGCAATGACGCCTCAAATAACGCCAGAGCACATACTAGTAGTTAGCCAGGACTTATATATACTGCTTGTAATGCATAACTGATTTGTCGAGATGAGGGAATCGTGTGACATATCATTTGATTGGCTGTTTCTATCCAATCAGAAGGGCTTTTGCTCGTCACACGGTTTGGTAGTCTACCCCTGGGTTATATGTCTGATAAAATTTTCACTGATGATCTTTTTGACTGGCTCTACATTTGCAGACAGGTATCATTACACATTCGCAGACACAAAATTTGATTTCATCTAGTCTGACTATTTCAATATGACGTTCCTCGAATTTTTTTTTACGTTCCGGTTTGTCCGTGAATTTTTAATCTAAGATTTTTCCTGGTCTGTACATTTTATTAAACTATCAGTAATTCTTGTGCGATGATTTGATGACGTCAGTAGACGGTTTGACTTGTCTCGTGTGTTCTGGAGGCGGTTTCATTTAGTCAGGTGATATAAACAGGAATTTGTACAGGCATGTTTCTGTTCAAATCAATATGTTTCGCCATTTACTGAAATTCCGATGTGCGTTCTCTATCTGTCTGCAAATGTCGCAATCTCCGTTCCGTTTTGTCTGGGTATTCAGTCGTTAATAATTCATAGGGGTCGGTCTTCTCCTTGTATAGGACGAAAATTGATGTTTGAGAGAGAGACTTAGGTACGCGGAAAAAGACCGTGAAAAACAAAAAAAAGAAACACGGTGGTAAAATATGGGCTGCAAAGTTCCCACATGCCATAGAACCCGAACTGTGTTCGATCGTGTTCGATCTGGGCAATTCGAATCGAACCCGCGTTCTATTTCGGGGTCACCTGCGGTCATTTACAATAAAGCGGCAAAACAAGCCTGTTTACCTCCGTGCCGTGCAACAGATAAAAAACAACACTTTTCTATAGATAAAAACAGATTCCTGGACAGTACATGTCCGCTATCATTTTTTTGTGGACATGTAACATGTAGCGAAGCTACTGTCGTATCCTTGGGTGACCTTGAATACTGTAATGATTCTTTACGCCAGTATGAATAACACAATGCAGACTTTTGGTCGACATGACATGTCTGCAAAACTCGTTTTAACCTGCAAGCATGGAAAGTCAAGCATACCCCATTCACGGCTCAAAATGACCGTTATGGTTGTCCCGAAAATCGTGTTTTAGGGATTTTTTAAAATGGCCTCAATTTTGAATTATGGGTAATTTAGTGCGAAAAATGTAAAGAAAAATCATTTTTTCACCAATATGTCGACAAAAACTAGACTTAAAATCAGAAATTAAAAATCCCTAAAACACGATTTCTTTATCTTATTCCTAGTCGTCGAAAAATATAAAAATCGGGAATCTGGGGTAATATACGTAGCCAAGTTAAAACGATGTTTGCCTAAAAACATGACATGACTTGTGGTCGGAAATCCGAAACAATCGTCTTTCGGAGCGAAATTTTGAAAAATCAATAATTTAACATAAACAGCTAATATTGAAAGGATGTTAAGGCAATAATTTCATTTTAATTTGACGAAATTTACCATTAAATCCTTCTTGTTTATTTTCAAGTGTTTTACTGGTAGGCCAAACTCGGCCCAAATAGCGTCTTGTAATCCGATACCTTTTAGAACGCGCCTAGCAATGGGAAAGAATACCGTAGTGACAGACCGCCGTGAAAAGCAATCCAGTCTTTGTAAGGAAAGGTTCTAACTTTATATTGTGGATGTAGCATTGCATTACAACTGCCCCGAACTTGCTTCTCCCTTTTCGTTGAACATTTTAGAATGAATGATTGTTAACTGCTTGACTTTTCTTTCTATATATTTGGGCATGTTTGTATCTAGGTTGTTTTCTCATTGTTGGGGTCTTTTAGCCTCCTAACCCTATGGACCAGTTTGTTGGCACAAGCCTTTCCTCTGGCAGTCGATTTTTTTCAGCGTCCGGTAGGCAACCTAATTGAAAACGACCCATAAAAACCTGGCGTGCGCTAATGGACATATGCATGTGTGGGCGGACAGTACTCTGAGCACCGTAGAGAGCCGGCGAGCCTACGATGGTCTGTCTGCCAGGCTAGTGAAATTCGACCTTTCCGTATAGGTCGTCGGCACTGCCGACCCTGGTGGAGCTCGGGGGTTGGAGTGGCGTGGCATGGGATGACTGGGCTGCCTCCGTACCGTACATGTCACCCGGCTCCTCACGGCTGTTGTCGGTGCCTGCAGCTTCGTACAGGTCGTTCCCCCTCATGGCCATGTAGGTGCAGACGTTTGCCCCGCCGAATTCGTTGGACATACCTTCGTCTGCGGTCATCGCGGCCTTTTTGGGAGGAATCGGAGGTGGGTTTTCCTCCTCTCGTTGGTTGCTCCTGCCATCCGTACACTCTTCACTCGGGTGGGTAAATTCTTTTGCTTTCTGCACGGTAGGATTGTGGTCATGGCCAGCCGGCTCTTCTTTAAGACTGCCGTCTCGAATGCCTCCGGGATAGGCGGGGTTGTGATCTTGCACCTCGCTTTCCTGGTCGTCGGTAGTTTTCCAACTGACGAGGCGGAGGGTCTGGATAGTTCCTTCGTGGTTGGTGCAGTAGTCGTACTCATGGTTTTCTTCGTCCGGATCCTCTTGGTGCGCGACGAGGCCGTCTTGCAAGTCCATGTCGTTGTCGTAGATGTGGAACTCGCGGTCAGGACTTGCCGTGCCGTCTTCTGCCGGCTGAGGACCACTGTTGTCTGTGTTCGGCACGTCATGGACAATGGCACAGGTTGTAGCGCTGGGTGGCTGTTGTGGCCGCTTGCTGTCGTCAACGTTGCGGCGGTTCTCAAACTTGGCCTTGGCCAGTACGGGCGCGGTGCGCTGCGTTCGGCTCACGTGGTGGCTGCTGTCGTACGAACAGTCCGCGTAACGTCGACCCCGCATCTCTTTCAACTCAACAGGGCTGTCGCGCGAGCCATCCTCGTAGTCATTTTCGGAGTGACCGCTTTCAGGTGCAGGGTGGGCCACAGGGTCCATAGCAGCCTGTTTACTCAGACAGATTTTGATGATAGCACAGCAAAAGGCAAGCAAAAGTAGAGCGGCAAAGGGTATGGCAACTTCTAGTAAGACAGCTTGGCTCACCTTGGTGTCGGGGACATCGAGAATCTTAACCCTCTAAATGAAAGAGAACAAAATAAAAAAAACTTTCAAAAGTCGAATCATGAGTTCTGTAAAAATGAGAAATATCATGAAAACAGAAATAAGGTTTGCTTTTTACGACACATGCTATATGAGCATGAATATCGAAAATTATATCAAATGGTTTAATTAGTATCATTCAAAAACACTGATTAGCGGCTAATGCAGCAGGTCTGTTTTTTCGAGCCTTCATCACATCTAGATAATGCAAGTTATAACACTGCTGATAATGTTAGCTGAACTACAGTTAGATACTGCTGTATCATTGTATGCCTGTGTGTGTTCTCGATTTGTTTCAAGTAGTATCACTGTGAGCTATAGCCGGTCGTTTCATTGGCAGTTCGCTACAGTTGTTTCTCGAAGTCTACATGGCAAACGTGGTTTCTCTACATTTGAATGTTAGCTCCCCACTACGGTAGACTAATTGACACGACGTTATTTCCCCACTACGGCAGACTAATCGGAACGACGTTGTCATTTAGCGACTCGACTTGTCATGTAACAAGAACAAGACTGACTGTAACGGACTGAAAATGTACCGAAAAAAACCCTGAAACGATAATTCAAGAAACAGAAAAGTATACCTCATCTGTACGACCCGGCGTAGTCGTCTTTATATCAGCTATAGTGGTCTTTCCCTCATCTGTAGACTGGTCCGTGTTAATGTTAACACGCGTGGAAGTGGGAGGAAGGGTTGTTGCTTGATTTTCATCTCCTGTTGTGGAAGAAACCAAGCTTGTCGTTGATGCATGCAGGTCCGGGGGCGGTCCGCAAGTCACCGACTTGAAACACAAGATTCGCGAGGAGTTGGCCATGTGGCGAGTGAACCAGTCCCAGCCTTCGTCACATCGGAAAGGGTTTTGGTCCAACTGGAGGTAGGCCCCGCTCACCCGATCCAGCTCACGGCTTGACATGAATGTCAGGTGATTGTGACTCAAGTCGAGGAACATGGCCTCTCCTAAAGCTAGCTGACATCCTCTTGTTATAATCGGCATGACTTTCAGTTCGTTGTGAGAGAGGTACAGCTGCGTTAGACTTTCCAGATTTGCAAAAGCGCCAGGAAGGAGGAAGGGCAAGTAATTTCTTCTCAGATCCAGTACTGTAAGGTGGATCAATCCTTCGAAACTGCGCCGGGCGATGAAGCTCAGAGAATTGCACGTTAAGCTTAGGAAGCGTAGATGTGGCAATTCAGTGAAAGCTCCGGTTTCTATGCGTTCGATCGCACTTTTCCTGATGAAGAATCGGGCCATCGGCTGAGAACTACCACGTCTGGCTTGTCTGAGGGAACTCGCCGTTAGGGTCTTGAAGTTGAAATACCTGCCGTGGTAAAGAGTGTAGCTTTGAATGGACGGACTTTTTATGTTGCAGAGATGCTCGAAGCGTCCACGGCGAGTGCAACACAGAAACCGAGTGTCTGGTTTAGGTATTGCCGAGGAGGTGCACAATTCTGCACACTGATGCACGTGTGAAGCCACGCCGAATTCGACAGCAAGCCAGAGAAGGAACGTTTTCACGAAGACGCCACTAGCAGGTGCCATATGCATCTTTCAGGTCGGACGGTTGTCGGGATAAGTCATAGTTATAAGGATAAATCTGGAACGCACAGGGCTATCACGAAGCAACCTATAGGTCCAACCAAGTTGACAACCACATCGATAGGGGTTTGAATCCCGTCTGATGGTATCCGTCGATTATACATTCGCCCCTGTAGCGCTCCAATGTGTCCAGATTATTTAGGGTTATGGGACACGGATACAAGTCAAGCGCCTGCCCCGACCGGACTAAATTCACAAGATTACCCCTAAACGACACCTTGTAAAGAAATCTTAGATGAAATTAATTATGACACAAATGTGAGACAAAGCATGCCTCTCTCTATGAGGAAAAATTACAATCGTAGATATCAGATATTCAACCAAAGTTTGAAGTTACTTGAAATTGATACGGGCCTAAAGGGCAGTGAAGGAGCCTGTAGATGACCGCAACAACTTTCACTTTGACCAAGGGGCTGAAATCAGAAGAGCTGAGCTACAAGCAACTGATGCCTACTGCAGAAGTTAATCGGTAGAAAAGAACAACACAGCTCACACAGAGCTGAGTAGGCCCAAGTCGCATCCGTGACAGATACTGTCATATCACCAATATGACTGCCAAGCCAACAATACGTCGGATTACTAGTAACCAATGTCAGTTAAGACCAAAGAAGGCTATAGAAATGTCAGAAAACAACGCTGTCAAAGAACCCGAAGCAAGTTCGCCTCAAATAACGTACAGTACACAACGAGCATAGATTTATATATACTACTTGCAATGTATAACTAATTCATCGAGATGAGGGAATCGTGTGACATATCATCTGATTGGTTTTATCTAACCAATCGGGAGGGCTTTTGCTGGCCACACGGTTTGTAGCTTTATCTTACCCCTGGGTTCTTGTTCTGATTAAATTTACACTGCTGATATATCTTGATCTTTCTGATTGGTTTTCACATTGGCAGACAGATATCATTTTTCCGTTCCCACCCACCCACACATTCGCAGACACGAAATTGATCTTGTCTGGCTATTTCAATCTTACGTTCCTCGATTTTGGTCATTCTACATTCCTGAATTTTCAAATTTAATATTTTTGGTCTGCACATTTCATTATTTACAGTGATTCTTGTGAACAGATGGTGCTTATGACACAAAAATACATCATTTCCTTATTATATCATTCAATTAAGATATGCACATTGGCGCCAACCATATATGCATTTTAAATATTTCTAACTTATAAAAGTGAGTATCATAAGCATCGCGGTATATCAAGATACATCATAATTTTGTAACAGCTCATGCCATGCTTTTCTTACGGCCTAATGCAGCTGTAAAATGCAGACCAAAAATGATGAAAATCTCAAAGTTCAAGGTCACTTTCTATTCTTTATCCCAAAATATATGTCTTGAACTTTGACATTTACCCACAATGCATCACACTATGAACTGGCCTGTATCTTTCCAGCGAAGTTTTCTCCATTTGTTAGAGAGGTGAATTCTTATTTATAATTATATTATATTATATTATATTATATTATATTATATTATATTATATTATATTATATTATATTATATTATATTAGCAGAGTAATATGTTCATTCTTAGTACAAATCTCCGGAGAATTATAGATTCCGTTCAGATCTATCCTTACTAATCAAACGTCGTTTCAGACTATGACGTGATTTGATGAATGTTGATGAACTAAACCAACGAAGTCATCAATCGTTGTTACTTTAACCTTGGGGAGTTTTGCATACATCTGTCGTTTTTGCATTAGGGATTTGTCTTTGAACCTTAGGCCACAGCAAGTAATGTTTATGGATGACATCAGCTATAGGTCCGTTTGCAATGGTGGTGAAGACTATTGGTATCATTTGTAAACAAAACTTCTGAACACGGAAATGTGGAGAACATGGTCTTTATTTTATTGCATGAGTCAGGCTTGCAATTGTAAGCCTCCGTCGGTACATTCTTCACCACAATTAGTAGAAGTAGTAGAAGAAGTAGTACTGGTAGTAATAGTAGTAGTAGTAGTAGTAGTAGTAGTAGTAGTAGTAGTAGTAGTAGTAGTAGTAGTAGTAGTAGACTAGTTTAATAGTTCTTGTCAGCAAAATGACATACATGCCTACTTCCAGCCGTATATTGGGGGGCTGAATTGTAAGGCTATTTACAAAGGTATTCGTCTATAAAATAGCTTATACATCATTTAGTAAGCGACAGTAAAATATGATTATTTAACATTCAAAATTCTGAAAAGCAATTGTAGTCAAATATAATTTCCAAAACAATGCTGCATGTTACACGAATAAACAGTTGCTAAAAGTTCAAGTTGAGGGATTCGATTACAAATTAAACTGACATAGTAGTTTCGAAGAGTATGCAGAGTATATACATGTTGACACGACATGCTGGAATTCTACATTCTTTTTATTGTGACTAGAGGATTCCACAGAGATGAGGTCTAGGCTATTGAGAGACCAGTGTTCAAAACGCTGACAGCTCTCTCAAGGGTTTCAGCATGCAGTTTTTAAGGTCGTCTAACAATCTTTAAATTATCTCAATGATTTTAATGATATCCAAGGTGTTCTATTGATCTTTCAATTCTTCTCAAAAATTTATTCTGATGATTTCCAAGCTCTTGCAATGTCCGTGAACAATTCAATCAGGTTGACCAGTGTTTAAAACGCTGACAGCTCTCTCAAGGGTCTTTCAGTCAGCATGCAATTTTTTAAGGTCGTCTAACAATGTTTAAATTATCTCAATGATTTTAATGGTATCCAAGGTGTTCTATTGATCTTTCAATTCTTCTCAAAAAATTTATTCTGATGATTTCCAAGCTCTTGCAATGTCCGTGAACAATCAGGTTGACCAGTGTTCAAAACGCTGACAGCTCTCTCAAGGGTTTCAGCATGCAATTTTTTAAGGTCGTCTAACAATCTTTAAATTATCTCAATGATTTTAATGATATCCAAGGCGTTCTATTGATCTTTCAATTCTTCTAAAAAAATTTATTCTGATGATTTCCAAGCTCTTGCAATGTCCGTGAATGATTCAATCAGGTTGATGAATGGCTGAGTAGCAAAGTTCTTTATTCATGTCATCCCTTTTTGGTTTGAAATAGAAAAATGGTTAACCCAAGAAATTGGTCTAAATTTAGAATTAACGCCTTTTGTGATTATATTTGGTGACTTATCTGTAAATGCGTCCTCTTTAAAGAATTTAATTATTTTACTGGGTAAACTCTTTATCTTTCGCTCTAGGCGATATAAAAGTCTACATTTTCAGTCCTTTAAAAAAAAATTAGTGTCCTTTTACCAAAAGACAGAGTTTCTTATTGCATCTCGGAGAGGGAAGCTGGAGATGCATCGGGGTAAGTGGGGAACTTTATGTTCAGATTAATTATTCATTTTTGCTGTGTTATGCATATTTAAGCTGTTTTGCTACATTTTACATAAGTTATTCTTGCCATCTTGGTTCTTATTTTTAGTCAACCACGACTGAACGTGTCTTTGGTTTTTATGTAGTTTATTGTTACCCATGTTCTCTTTGTATTGTTTCATATTTCTTGAAAAAAAATCTTGAAAAAAAAAGTTCTTTATTCACAACCACTTGTTTGAAACAAGAGCTGATGTTTTGATGACTGTCTGGCATCTTCATCAGGGCAATTATGACTGATTCACTGTTGAAGATGACAGACGGTCATCGAAACGTCGGTTCTTGTTACAGAGTTTATGTGTAAAGAATTTGCTAATCAAGGTCTTGTAATAATCTAAAATGATATCTCGAGGATCACAATATGAACGATATTTTTTGGACGCTCATCGTCGTTTGCCCAAAGGTTTATTCATGTGGCCTTTCACTGTCTGTGTGGGTACCTGGTCTCCCTCAAACACCCGAACGGGGTCCATTTGGACCCCAGACGTATATTTTTATGTGCTATCTGAATTTTTTTTATTCTAAAAAAAAATTCCTCCCGTGACTTTGTCAGTAAACCTCTTCTACAAGTTCTTCTAATTTTTTGGGGGAGATCGGCACAAATTTGTAAAAATAACAACGGGAAGTCTGATGTAAGACCGTCTGGGGTCCAAACGGACCCCAGCCATGTATTAACACTTTCCTACACACGAACTTGTTCGGATGTCCCCAATATGTCTTCAAGGAAGCATTATTGCTTTAATATTATGCAGTTTGCCAAGTAACCTCAACCCCAGGAATTATTTCATCAGGTTTTCAGAGGTTTGACAATTTGACAATCATATGAGGTCAAAGGTCAACCCCAAGTTCGTGTCTGCAGGCCTCATCCTATTTTTGCATATATTATGATAATGAGCTGGAATTTTTAAACATTTAATCATGTCAAAATAAAGGTCTTAATATGTTTAACCAATATATGTGCAAAGGTCACTGAAAGGATGCAAAAAGGAATATTAATTTGAAAGAAACCAAATGGGGTCCATTTGGACCCCGTTCGGGCATTAACGTCACCAAAAAAGTTCGGGTGTTTGAGGGTTAATAAACCAGACTAACCATCTTTCGGCAAATTACATTAGTATTACGTACAAACTAAATTGGTAGGGACTCGGCCGGCGGCTTACATTACACTACTGAACGACCTGTGCAGCTGGGTCCTGTGTATATCTATTCCCTTTGATACTTGGATACTCTATTAAGTCCATTAGCTTTCATACAGTTACGATCCATCAGTCGTGCACGTTATACCAAACGACCCGTCACTAATTATAATCTTCATCAAGGGGTCAGGCAACACCAATGCAACTTCTTGTTCTTGGATTTGTGCAGAATTTGATTTATTTATTTATCTATTTCGTCATATTTAAACAGGGTGACCAATTCAGTGATGGCACTGCTTTTCAGTGGGGGCCCTGTATTACATACACATAAGTAATCAAAATACAACAGTCACATACAAACAATAAAATTACAATAAACAATGATAATGATAATAAAGATAAAACAGTAACTAACCAATAACAGTAATAAAAA